AGTATTGTAGAAACAGAAAATTTTAGAACTAGAAGGCACTTAGAAATCACCTAGTCCTACTTTCTCACTCTTCCGCTGAATAAACAGATTCTGAAAGGGTCAAATCATTTCCCAAAGCCATACAACTCTGTATCCAGGTTAATAAAAGAGTTCAGTCTCCTAATGCCCAAGCCATTGTGGAAGCCTAGAAAAACCGTAAAGGACAAAGACAGCTACATAAAGAACACCCTTCCTTTCGATGACATACATTGTGATTTTAAAAAAAGAACCCTGAGGCCTAATTATAAGAAAATCACCCCCCACCTTTCTAGAGAGACAAAAATAGGTAGGGATAGGATAATGATAATTCTCTCAGATTCCCACCCCCGTAAATAGTTCTTAGTATGCCCATAATTAAGTTAAAAGGCAAAAACATCCTCCTGAATCTATAAATCAGTAAGGCTACAGACAATGGTTTCCATGAAACAAAGTCTATACAAAGCAACCCTGAAAGCAGCATATTATAAAAGCATCTTGGTGTTCTCTCAATTTGTTTTATAAATGGTTCTGACTACACAGGTGACTGAGACCAAAAACAGAGTTTCTGCAGCTGCTGGTGATTCATGAACTATACAAGAAAGATAAAAGATCACTTCTCAGAGATTTATGTCCAAGTGCCTTCCCCTAATTTACAAAAGGGGACATTACGGTAACTGAGAAAAAGCAAAAAAAAAGGTCCGAAACTTGGATAATGAAAAAAAAAGTCACTGCATGTTGCCTGGTAAAGACAGCAAAACATCCTGCAGAAATGAATGCATGCCTCACTCAGGCCTGGTGCAAGAATGCCAGGGACAGGAAGCTGACCAAGTCTCTTTAGTCTAAAATAAAAGACATCTTCAGAATCATACAAGGAGAACTTAGAAAGCAAGAATGTCAAGTTAAGAACTGAATTAAAGATAAAAGTAGGATTCCCATTTCTTCTTTCTATTTTGCATTCTACTTTTCTTATTCCTTTTTCACTTTGAAAGAAAAACCTTAAACAACTTTAGTCTCTCATCATCACATATCACCTTTGTTTTTCCATACCTGGTTTGACATGTGTTAATTACCGTGGATAATCGGATATCAATCACCCTGTAATGACTGGCATTGGACTGATGGATCCAAATTTAAGAAAATGTATGTGCCTTGCTTATTAAATATCACTTACTTGCCATAGCAAATTCTTGTCTATCTTGCAAAAGTTAGGACAGGCAATTCTCTTCTCAAGGAACAACAAACTCAGATTGTAACTATAATGTCAATCTTCTGGGATAGACATATATACAGTCTTGTTTTGGTCTTTACATCACCAGCGGAGAACTTTTTAATTGTTTTATAATCAACATATAGATTACAAAGCAGAAATCCCAAGAAGTTTAACCATCTACTTAACGTCATTTGTCTCCTAAGTGGTAAAACAGGAATTGGAATCCCAGTCTTTAGTGGCCAGCGCCCAGAATCCTTTCACTAACCAGGTCCTTCCCAGGTGTGGAAAGAGGGCGTATATGATGGGATTCCCACCCAGGCAACTAACCTGTAAAATTGAAAGCCTCACTACTTGGGCATGCGTTGGTTTTTATGTTATGTAAGGGGGTGGTAAGAGTTCAATCACCTATCATTATAGAGCAACAGTGACTCATAATTTGCTATCTTCAAATCAGCAGTTAGACATAAATAAAATTTAGCAATTTTAATTGGTTTGGCACAGACTTCCAAATTTCCATATGGTTATTTTCCCTGTTTTATGTTAAATGTAATCGACTTAGCACTTGAGTTTTAAAGTCTTGGCAGAATGTATCAATTAAAAGCTACATAAATTAGAATTACTCAAAGCACACATTCCAAATTGAGTGATCATAAGGACAAAATTTTAAAATGCTCTTTTCATAAATATGTTAATTTTTTCCCTATAAAGTAAACTTGCATTGCTATCTACATAACAAACCTCAGATAGAGAAAAAGAAGGGTATTTTCTCTGCCAGAATGAAAGCTAACATTCTATTTGCTTCTTCCGAGTGCCTCAGTGTGCCTAAAATGGCCCTTTATACACTGTTTGCAAGATGACTCTTTGCCTGTCTCGATATTTCTGAAAGTAACACCAGTCTTGATAATGCCTAAAACTGCACAGAAACTAAAATGTGAGCATAATATGGATAAATGTGGCACTGAGCCTATCAAGGCGGCTACTTCTGAGCACACTTTCATTGGTGGTGCATAATGCAGCATCCCAATAGTTACCTAATATATCCCACAGTACTATTTTCTTTTAAACAGCATTACTTTAAAAGAGATGATCTTTCTAAGTCAGAGCCACTATTTCCTTTAGAAACTGTACAGTCTCACTATATGGACAGAATACATGTAGTGGAAAACACCTAATGCATTTATTTCTGCAGACTTGCAATTGAGTTGATTGTCACCAGGGCTCCTTAGGACTACTGCCTGTGTGATTGTTTTCCAAATACTGAAGTCTGTTGCATGTGTTAAGTAAATGAAAGAATCATTCATCAAACCCCAAGTGGTTGTTGATGGAATTTTCACTTATTTAGCTTGACTTACATGCAAAAATGACTGCTGTCTCCATGATAGCTGAAAACCTGTACAATTCAAATTAAAGTTCTTTTTAAAATGTCGATAAATTTTGGTTTCATGTACTGAGTAATCACACAATAAAAGAACCAGTAAGCCTAGTTTTAATACCATGTTTATAAGCAACTATTTAAACTATTAAATATTAATAGATATCCCTCTCTGGCAAAGACAAAACATTAGATTGAAACCCTTCTTAGTCTCTGATTTTCTTATGCTACTGTCTCTCTCTCTCTCTCCATGCAGAGTTGCACAGAAATTTTTTTCCCAATTTTAAAGGAGAAGATTTGACACTCATCCTTCATTACCATGGATTATTTTATTGATTTTGTGCTGTCTCCAAGGTCTCCTTTTTCGGTGACAGGAATGTGAAATTGTTAGGAGTATCCTTAAGGAAAACCTTGAAGGTCATTAGATCCCGGGCAATGAATGCCTTCATTCAACACGAGCACTGCCCTCTTAAGCCCTTTAACACCAGCATGTCCCCCAAAGGGCCTGCACTTTAACTTGGTCTGAGCAGGTCACATTTCTAAAATACTTAGCTGTCTCAAATGTCTCTGGTCGGCAGCACTGAGTCACTAATGCCACAGCCACAGTGTTTCAGGCGAGGCTGACCTCTTTCTAGTTTTCAATGGAATTATTCCATGTAATCCTATTTACACAGCCATTTAATCAAAGCGAGAGCGGAGATTACAGAGCTCGCATTTGTTTTGCAAAGCAAGGGTGCAAGGATCATCACTCTTACTGACTCTCAGAGTGACTTGATAGTACATCCCGGGCTTTGGAGTGTTGGACATTAACCCGATCTGTCTCGTTTTCTTGTTTACATAGGAAGCTTTGGGCTCTTTTCCTGATCTAAAAGGTAGCGCCTTCTCCACCCAGATCTCACCACCACCACCATGCGTGCAGGCAGAGGCGACTATAAAAAGGAATAGGTTCCCACCCTTGCTTAACTGTGCTGTGGATCAGAAAGCACGTACACTTCCAGCCGCACGATAAAACTTTTCTTTGTTGGAAGAATCTTTCATACTGCATTTCTCTAGCACACTGCGGTCATCCCAGGTATGGTGTCCTTGCCTAAAAACGAACCTGCTTGCAAGACACGAGACAGGCGCGCTGCTTCTCTTCCTTATCTTGGAGACCCTGCCAAAGTAGGCTGGGCACGGCCTCCTTTCATGCCAGGCAAGGTCCCTTATCCCTGCCCTCTTCCTCAACGGGTGGAAAGGACTTTGCTCTTTCTTCTTAATGTCCAAGCCTAGACGTCCATTTCAAACACGATGCTAAGCGGTTAATCTAATAAAGCATTTGCAGCACACGGATTCCTTCATTCTAAACCTTCAGTTGCCCGCCCGCCCCAGTGCTTCAACCCCTTCCACACATTTCGGGAATTGCAATCTCCCACAAAACCTCTGGGCGGTGAAAGGGCAGCCTTACCCAACCCGAGGCCAACAGCAGAACAGTTCCGAAGGGAAGAAGTGGGAAGAGGTAAGAACCGCCTGCCAGAGGTGAAGAGAACTGTGGAAGGGAGTATTGAGGCAGCCGTTTCCAAAGGGCGAGCCAGATATTTGTTGGCGGAGCGGGGGGGATGTCTAATTGTACCTCTAGGCAGCGCTTTCGGCACAGTCCTTTATGTATAAAGCACCATTCAGCAACCCTGGGTATTATCTCAATAACTATCATTAGAGGTGCCCATTAAAATTTTAAAAAAATAAATAAAACTTTTTGTGTAATGGGAGAAGGTGCACGCACTGGGGAGGTGTTACTCCATCTGCAGCTCCCTGGAGGGCCCACCCAGAGATGCAAACGAGGCAGCTCGGAGCCCGCAGGGCGCCAAGTTTCCCGGGCGAGCCGGGCAGGTTCCCCGCCCCGCCGAGCGCTGCAGCTTAGCAGCTCGAGGTTGGCTTCGCTCCCGCGGCTGCACCCGCGTCCCGCGTCCCCCTGGCGACTGCACAAATCTGGGTTCCACAGCGAGCGAGGGTGGCGCGTGGGGAGCTGTTTCATAACCTCCCGCATCCACGAGAAAATGTCTCCCGTGCAAAGACGAGCCTTCCCGGGTTAGCGCGAAGTCCCAGGCCAAAGAGCCCACGCTGCCCTCCTCGGGTGGGAAATGCGGCTTCCGATTGACAGCTGAAAACTTAACTGCGGCGGCGGCGGCGGCGGCAAACTTGACACCGGCTCCCTCTCCGGACTCCCACTGCTCCCCTCCCGCGCTCCGCCGGCTGCGCGCTCCGGCTGCACCCCACGCCCGCCTCCCCCGCACCCTCTTGGCTCACCCGGAGGGCGCAGCCCCGCATGTCCCGGCTGCGGGTCCCGGGGCGCGCCGGCCTCCCCGGGGCTTCGGGCGCGGTTTTCTTTGAAAGCCTCGGAGCTCCCGGGCGTGCCCTACTCACTTGTGTCTTCTTCATAAGGAAAGGCAGAGCTGCGATCCAGCCCAGGCGGCGGTGTGGCAACTCCGTTTAGCTGCTCTGGAGCTCCAGCATATTGCACGGGCAGCGGCGGCAGATAGTCCAAGCATTGGGCAGCCCGAGCGCAGCGCCCTCTCCACGGCCCGTGCCTGCAGCGGCGCTCCGGGACCCAGCGCGAGGTGGCAAGTGAAGCCCCGGCCGCCGCGCCGCCGGCGCTTTTATACGGCTCCCTCCCGCCCGCTCCGGACACGCCCCTTCCCTTCCGGAGCCCCGGGAGGCCAGATGCGGCCGGGGGCCGGGCGGGGACCGGAGAGCGCTCCCGAAGTGGGGCGGGCTAGTCCCGCGCGCCCCCTGCCTGGGGGTCGGGGTGCGCCCCTGCCGGAGGCCACAGCGTGCGGGGCCGCCCGGGGCGAAGCTTAGCAACCTGCAGCCGCTCGAGCAGCGCTGGCCTCGGCGGGGCGCACCTGGCACCGCCCAAGGACAGACGACACCCCTGGCGCGTTGGAGCAGACGGGGCTCGGTCTCTCTGCTCTGAAGCAATGAGGGAGCGAGTGAGGGTCGCCTGGTTCGGAGCAAACTTCACCCAGCCTCGCCTTTGAAGGAAAAAAAAAAAAAAGTTTAATTAGGATCCCTAGTTAGAGCATTGTCTTACGCTCTTTTTTTTTTTTTTTTTTTTTTAAAGTTACTTTAGTGAATGAATAATGCTAAAGGGATTATTGACTCTGGGTTGAGTATTGCTAAAGGAAATGCTATTTTCAGAATGATTCGCTGTTGTGTCTTTAGAAATTAAAATTGAAAGAAAAAAGATAAACTATTAAATGTGCAGAACGACACAGTGGAGATTTTGAAAGGGAATTGCAATCTCTACTTTTTTTAGAGAAGTTTTGAAATCGGGAAGATAACCCAACAGTAATAATAACAGGTAACACCGTTATGCCATGCGCTTATTTTTTAGGCACCAGGCGTCATGCTAAGGACTGTACGTAAACTATCTCATTAAATCTTTTCCATAAACCTATTGTATAAATCCTGTTTTTTGAATTCCCATTTTATAGATGAGGAAACACAGCCTTAACGGTCAATTTTCCCAAACAACCTCAACTAATAAAAAGCAGAGCCCCAATTTAAATCTAGAGCTTTGGTTGTACTATCTTTTAAAAATACTTCAAATATCATATTGGCTTTCTGAAACTCTTCAATAACTGGAGAACAGTAAAAACCTTTTTATTAATTTTATAAAGAAAATGTTACTGACTTTAAAATAGTAATCTTTTGGAGCAAGCATGATATACAAATGTAGGAATTAGTTATTTTCATAACACAGTGGGATTCTAAATTCACCATGCACCAGTTGCCTTTGTTTTAAAATTGAATATGCCAAATCCTTAATCAAAAAGAAAACACTAGGTAAATTTTAAAGCTCATTTTGTTTGTTTCCTATTGCTATTATTTTAAAAAGGATCAGTTAAAGGACGTAACACAAATGTATTGGAGACCAAAAGTCCAAAATGACTTTTATTGGGCTAAAATCAAATTCTTGGCAGAAGTACATTCCTTGCTCAGGAGGCAGGGTGGAGGGGATTGTTATTCATTCCCTTGTCTTTCCGAGCTTCTAGAGACTATCCGCATTCCTGGGCTGGTAGATGTCTTCATTTTCAAAGCCAGTAATGTCGAACTGAGTCCCCACATCAAACCACTGTCACCTTCTCTTCTGCCTCCCCGTTCCACTTCTAAGGACTTTTAGGAATCTCCTGGGCCTACCTGGATAATCTCCTCATTTTAAGGTGAATTGTTTGGAACCTTAATTCCACCTACAGCCTTCATTTTTCCCTTGTCTTGGATTTGGCATGTATCATAACATTCACAGGTGCCAGGGGTTAGGATACAGATATGTTGGGTGCATATGCATGTGTGCATGTAGGGGGTGGGGTGTATGTGATTCTCTCTACTGCACCGACAGCAAACCAGTTGAGGAGAACAGAAGTGGAAGTAGGGACTCAGTGTGCTGAGCTCCGTGGGAGCTCCCAGCTGGAAGATTATCTCCTCCTCCATAGTTACAAAAATAAATATTTGGAAAAAGGACCAAAAGAAAAGCTGAAAGCATTTAATAATTGCTTTTACTTTCCATTGAAAAGGTGCTGCAAACCATCTGAACAGGGATGGAAAGAAGGCTGCAAACAGCACTCAGTATGACCATATTGGAAAAATCACCTAATGAGTCCTCCCTGGTCATCCTAATCCTAACACAGCCAGGCCTTCAGTATCATCTCCCTTTTGCAAGAATTTTCCAAGCTGTTCCCTACATATTATGCAAGAAGGAGCAACGCTCCTGAAATTTACTAGTATGGTCTAGTGAAAGAAGAATGATTTTGAGGAAGGATCCTTCTACTTCAGAGTCTACTGCAGGATTAAATCCTTGGCTCCAAGATTAAGCAGTGAGACATCCACTGCCAGAAAGGTCCCCAAGATGATTTCAGGTAAAACTCAGGTGAACTTGATTATCAAGTAGGCATATATTAAAATGGGTATTTGAAATGTGTTTAGATAGATAATATATAAAACAGGATTCCAACGTGGTAGCTGATTTAAAAGTGTATATCCATTAATTACCTTTATCAAGAATTTATGTAAATATATAACATGTCAAATTATAAAACAGAGTTCCTTAATTCGGATAGCTGAGGCCTTAAAGAAATGTCTTTCTTTAAGACATTTTTAGAGTTGAGAAATACAGTTCCCTCAGCTTTATTTATTAAGGTGTACTTGACAAATAAAAGCTGCTTATTTTTACCGTGTGCAGCATGATATCTTGATATGTGCATCATTGTGAAATTATTAAAACAAAGTATTTAATACACCATTGCACAGTCTATTAGTTTTGAAGAGTAAAGAACATTTAAAATCTACGTCCTTAGAATGTTCAAGTACACAGTACGTTCTCACTAACTATAAGACACCATGCTGTACAGTATATCTCCAGAATTCATTCATGTGAATTTTAACTGAAGCTGCATGTCCTTTCACCGACATATTCCTTTCCTTCAGAAAAAAAGGTCCTCAGTGTCAATTTAAACTCAATTTAATGCATAACATTAAGTAAGTAATGAATACTCCTAAAGGAAGATGAATATGATAATGTCAAGATGGCTTGAGAGTCAGCAAAGCCTGGGAAACAGAGGCCGTGCTAACTTTATGAGACTCGTAAGAGGAACAGTTCTTATAAGATGGGCTAGGTTTAAAGAACAGACAGTGCATCTATCAAATTCAGTGTAAATTCCTTTCATTCACAGGCTATATCATGCTATACCAGGTCTTTGGTCTCCTGCCTTCTTTCTGCTTTTAGTTATCTTGGTCTCTTTCTCCCAACCCCACCATTTTGTGGGTTTTCACTACATTAGCATCATCACTGAGTTCTTCACCCTTTCTGCTGCTATAACAAAAACATGGAGACCAGACACTTTATATGGAATAGAACCTTATTTAGCTCATTTTTCTGGAGTCTGAGAATTTTAAGAGCATGGCTTTGTCATCTTTGGGATCTGGTGAGGGCCTTCTGACAGTAGCATAAGAAGACAAACTATCATGTGATTGAACAGCAAGCAAGCTAGAGAGCACACATCCCTAACAAAGTTACTCCCATGGTAATCCATTAATTCAAAAATGGATTATTCAATTCATGAGCTCAAAGCTCTTATGACCTAATCAGCTCCTTAAATCCCCATCTCTCAATGTTGCTTTGTTGAGGACCAAGTCTCCAAACGTGAATTCTGGGGTACCTAGGTAAACCACAGTAACTTTCTTATCTTTTGCTTCCTTCAATACTGTTGCTCTACTGCTTTGTTATATAATCAGACTATTTGAAATTAAGTCATGAATATATGTAAGATACTAAAAATTGCAGACAAACTCATGAAGAAGTCAAAACTGGGTCAGAAAGATTATACTTTAAAGCTGGCTTTTGGGAGAAGACACAGGCTAGCATTTAGTCTCTTAGCAGAAAAGAGCCAGGGAGCTACTAAAAAATTAGTAGGAGTCAGGCTGGTCAAAAAGCATGGAAATACTTCCTCCTGGAAGTGGTAGCCTCCTGTGATACAGTTCAAGGTGTTCCATATGTATCACATTCAGTAGGACGTTTTCCCCAAATTGCCTAGTCTTTACCTTCAATGCTAGTTGGTCATTTATGCTTTTTTTTAAATTAATCTAATTGTTGGAATACTTTCTTTTTTGAGGTTTCTCACTTTTTTGTTGTTGTGAACAAGCAGGTTTAATTTAGTAACTGAATAAGTCTTGTTTTATATGGAAACATCCTGTGTTCATCACCACTTTGTCTCCATATTCTTTCAGACTCACATTTTATTATCTTTTTGATCTTTAAAAATGCCACCCTAAACTGAAACTGCCATTTACTTTTTTTAATGTTGATTTTTAGCCCATGTTTGCAGTATATAATGATTACATTCACTGTTGAGAGTGGTATCTGTACATAAAACATTTTAATTAATTTTTTACCCCTTTCCTTCCTTTCTCCTTTCCCCCATCTCTTTGTTCTCTTCCCTTTCATAAAAGATCTCTCTGTTTCCTATTGTCCATCTTTTGTTTTGCTCTTTTGTATATATGTGAGGAAAAATCATACAATATTTAATTTCATGTGTCTGATTTACTTTACTTAATATTATGGTCTCCCAGTGCATCTAAATTCCTAAAATGACACAAACATATCCTTCTTTATGACAAAGTATTATTCCATTATGCATACATACTATACTTTTTATCCATTCATTCATTGATGGGCATATAAAATAGATCTATATATTAAACATGTGCCTCTATAAACATAGGCATATATTTACCACTGTGATACAATGTCTTAAATACCTGCTGGAAAATATTTAGAAGGGGAATAACTGGATCCGATGGAATTTCACCTTTTTAGTATTTGAGGACTCTTCACACAAATTCCCACAGTGGTTGCAAAAGATTATATTCTCACCAACAAAGTAGAAGGGATCTTCTCTCCCATATCCTCTCTAGCATTTGTTATTATGATTTCTTGATGACAGACAGCCTTTCAGGAGTAAATAGAATCAAAATCTCAGTGCTGTTTTCGTTGGCATTTCTGTAACAGCCAGAGATGTTGAACATCCTTTTATGTATTTATTGGCCAATTGTGCTTCCTCTGAGAAATGTCTATTCA